TCCCCAACTCGAGCCAAAGTTCGGGGATTTTCGGGCCGATGTGGGAAAAATCAGGAAGCTTTTTGGCCCCCTCATCCCACCCAGAAGGAGCAACCCCCTCCCTTCCCAATCCCGGTGCGAAAGAGGGAAGGATTTTCCATGTTTTAGAAACCAAAAAAAAGTGGGAAAGGGTTTTTTTTTCCGTTAAAAAAAGAGCAAACCCAGACGGAGAAGGAGGAGGAGGAAGAGGAGGAATTTTCGCGCAGCTCCGGAGGCGACTCCGGAGGCTCCCGGAGGTACTTCCAAGGTTTCCCTGGTTGCAGCAGTGTGGGAATTCGGGAATGGGATGGCAGGGGTCAGTCCAGGAAGCGCTGGCAGGCCTTTTTCCAGCGGCAGGCCGTGCACCACTGGTCCCGGTGCTCGATGCCGTAAACCTTGCGGCACTTCTTGGCTTCGCCCCGGATTTTCCTGGGAAAACGGGGAGGGAGGGAAGGGACACGGGGGGAATGGGTTATGGATCCACAGGGAAATGGGTTATGGATCCACAGGGAAATGGGTTATGGATCCATAGGGAAGGGAGTTTGACTGGGTTCTGCTCTGGGGGGAGAAGGGAAGGGGGGAAAGGGGGAAGGGGGAAAGAGGAGAAGGAGGGAGAAGGGAGGAAGAGAGGGGAAAAGGAGGGAAGAGGAAGGACAGAAGGAGGGAAGGGAGGAAAGAGAGGAAGGGAGGAAAAAGAAGGGAAGGGGGAAAAGGAGGAAGGGGAGGAAAAGGAGGGAAAGGGGAAAAGGAGGGAAGGAGGGAAAAGGAGGGAAGGGGGAAAGGGAGGGAAGAGAAGGAAAAGGAGGAAGGGGAAGAAGGAGGGAAGGGGGAAAAAGGAGGGAAAGGGGAAAAGGAGGGAAGGGGGAAAAAGGAGGAAGGGGAAAAGGGAGGAAGAGAAAGGAAAAGGAGGAAGGAAGGAGGGAAGGGGGAAAAAGAGGGAAGGGGGAAAAAAGGAGGAAGGGAGGGACAAGGAGGAGGGAAGGAGGGAAAGAGGGAAGGGAGGAAAAGGAAGGGAGAAAGAAGGGAAGGGGGAAAAGGAGGAAGAGGGAAAAGGAGGGAAGAGGGAAAAGGAGGAAGAGGGGGAAAAGAGGAAGGGGAAGGAAGAGGGAAGGGAGGGGAAATAAGGAAAAGGAGAGGAAGGGAGGAAAAGGAGGGAAGGGGGAAAAGAGAGGAAGGGGAGGAAAGGGGGGAAGGGGGGAAAGGAAAGAAAGGAAGAAGGGGAAAAAAAGGGGAAGAGGGGAAAAAGGAGGGAAGGGTGGAAAGGGAGAGAAGAGAGGGAAAAGGAGGAGAAGGAGGAAAAGGAGGGAAAAGAGGGAAGAGGGGGAAAAGGGGGTAAGGGAGGAAAAAGGAGAAGGGGGAAGAGGAGGAAAGGGAGGAAGAGGAGGAAGGGGAAAAGGAGGGAAGGGGGAAAAGGAGGAGGGAGAGAAAGAAGGGAAGGGGGAAAAGGAGGAAGGGGGAAAAGGAGGGAAGGGGGAAAGGAGGAAGGAGGAAAGGAAGGAGGGAAAGGAGGAAGGGAGGAAAGGAGGGAAGGGGGGAAAGGAGGGAAGGGGAAAAGAGGGAAGAGGGAAAGGAGAGAAAGGGAGAAGAGGAGGAGGAGGGAAAAGGGAGGGAAGGGAGAAGGGAAAAGGGAAAGGGAAAAGGGGGAAAAGAAGGAAAGGGAAAAAGGGGAAAGGGAAAAGGGAAAGGAAAAGGGGGAAGGGAAAAAGGGGGAAGGGAAAAAGGGGCAAAGGGAAAAAGGGGGAAAGGGAAAGAAGGGGAGAAGAGAAAGAGGGGGAGAAGAGGAAAGAGGGGGAGAGGGAAAGAGGGGAGAGAGGAAAAGAGGGGAGAGGGAAAGAGAGGAGAGGGAAAGAGGGGAGAAGGGAAAGAGGGGAGAAGGGAAAGAGAGGGGAGAAGGAAAGAGGGGAGAAGGGAAAAAGGGTCAAAGGGAAAGAAGGGGCAAGGGCAAAAGGGCTGTGGCTCCTGACCTGGTGCCCAGGGACACCCTGGGTGGGGAGGCGACGATCAGGTGGGATTTGAGCAGCGGCGTTTGGGGTTCGCTGAAGCTCAGCGAGCGACTCCGCACCTGGGGAGGGAGAGGGGGAAAAAAATCAAGGATCAAAAAGGACACCTCGTGCCCTTCACTCCCAACATCCAACCCCTCATCCCGAAAGGAAAACGGCCCCGGCGCTCACCGGTGACAGGGACGGCAGCGTGGAGGTGGCGGCGGCCCAGCTGATGCTGGTGAAGATGTGGGGGGACACCGGGATTTGGATGGAGGGCAAGGCCTGTGGGGGGACAAGAGGGGGGGCAGCATTAATCCCACTCCCATTCCCATGGAATTTCCAATGGAATTTACCCCCCCCAATCCGTGGATCCTGCTGAGGCGGAGCGTGGAATGTTCGGAGCGTGGAATGTTCGGAGCGTGGAATGTTCGGAGCGTGGAATGTTCGGCGTCACCCCCTGCAGGGTGACTTCCCAAATCCCAAATCCCAAATCCAACCCCCCAATCCCGCCTTGTTGGCATTTCTGGAGTTTTCCAGGGGTTTTCCCGAGGGTTTTCCCGCTTTGGGATGACGTCACAGGCGTTCCCTGTGGGATGGGGTTGGACCCACAGGCGGCTCCTGGAGTTCCACACTCCCAGCTCCAGGGAGACACTGCTGCTCCCAAGATTCCCACCTTTCCCAAGATTCCCACCTTTCCCAAGATTCCCACCTTTCCCAAGATTCCCAGTTTTCCCCCCTGTGCCCCAGGATCCGGCAGGGCAGCATTCCAGCCTCGGGAAGGGTGTGTTGCATTCCAAAGGAAGGGAACAGAGGCCCCAGGAGGGGGGGAGGGTGGAGCTTCCAGCTGGGAATGGGCACCCAAATCCCTGGAATGTCCCTAAAAACCCCAAACCTCTCCAGGGATAACAGAACATCCCCAAACCTCTCCAGGGATAACAGGACATCCCTCCAGCCAGGAACAAGCACCCAAATCCCAAAAAAACAGGGGCTATGGAAGCAGAGGCTGGGCAGCTCCACCCCAGCCAGGAACAGGCACCCAAATCCCAAAAATCCAGGGGCTATGGAAGCTGGGTGTCCAAAGGGCTGCAGGGAAACCTCTCCAGGGATAACAGAACATCCCTCCAGTCTGGAAAAACACCCAAATCCCAAAAATCCAGGGGTTATGGAAGCTGGGTGCCCAAGAGATGCAGGGAAAGCTCTCCAGGGATAACAGAACATCCCTCCAGCCTGGAAAAGCACCCAAATCCCAAAAAATCAGAGGCTATGGAAGCTGGGTGTCCAAAGGCTGAAGGGAAATCTTTCCAGGGATAACAGAACATCCCTCCAGTCTGGAAAAACACCCAAATCCCAAAAATCCAGGGGCTATGGAAGCTGGTTGTCCAAGGGCTGAAGGGAAACCTCTCCAGGGATAACAGAATGTTCTTCCTGCCAGGAACAGGCACCCAAATCCCAAAAATCCAGGGGCTATGGAAGCAGAGGCTGGGCAGCTCCACCCCAGCCTGGAACAGCCACCCAAATCCCAAAAAATCCAGGGGCTATGGAAGCTGGTTGTCCAGAGGATGAAGGGAAACCTCTCCAGGGATAACAGAATGTTCTTCCAGCTTGGAACAGGCACCCAAATCCCAAAAATCCAGGGGCTATGGAAGCTGGGTTTGGGATGCAGGGAAACCTCTCCAAGGATAACAGAATGTTCTTCCTGCCAGGAACAGGCACCCAAATCCCAAAAAAAACAGGAGTTATGGAAGCTGGGTGTCCAGAGGGCTGAAGGGAAACCTTTCCAGGGATAACAGAATGTTCTTCCTGCCAGGAACAAGCACTCAAATCCCAAAAAACCAGGGGTTATGGAAGCTGGGTGTCCAAGGGCTGAAGGGAAACCTCTCCAGGGATAACAGAATGTTCTTCCAGCCAGGAACAGGCACCCAAATCCCAAAAATCCAGGGGCTATGGAAGCCGGGTTTGGGATGCAGGGAAAGCTCTCCAGGGATAACAGAACATCCCTCCAGCCTGGAAAAACACCCAAATCCCAAAAATCCAGGGGCTATGGATGCTGGTTGTCCAGAGGGCTGAAGGGAAATCTTTCCAGGGATAACAGAACATCCCTCTAGTCAGGAACAGGCACCCAAATCCCAAAAAACCAGGGGCCATGGAAGCTGGTTGTCCAGAGGCTGAAGGGAAATCTTTCCAGGGATAACAGAACATCCCTCCAGACAGGAACAGGCACCCAAACCCCAAAAATCCAGGGGCTATGGAAGCTGGCTTTGGGATGCAGGGAAACCTCTCCAAGGATAACAGGATGTTCTTCCTGCCAGGAACAAGCACTCAAATCCCAAAAATCCAGGGGCTATGGAAGCTGGGTGTCCAAGGGCTGAAGGCAAATCTTTCCAGGGATAACAGAACATCCCTCCAGCCTGGAAAAGCACCCAAATCCCAAAAAACCAGAGGCTATGGAAGCAGAGGCTGGGCAGCTCCAACCCAGCCTGGAACAGCCACCCAAATCCCTAAAAACCAGGAGCTATGGAAGCTGGGTTTGGGATGCAGGGAAACCTTTCCAGGGATAACAGAACATCCCTCTAGTCAGGAACAGGCACCCAAATCCCAAAAATCCAGGGGCCATGGAAGCAGAGGCTGGGCAGCTCCACCCCAGCCAGGAACAGGCACCCAAATCCCAAAAAATCCAGGGGCTATGGAAGCTGGTTGTCCAGAGGCTGAAGGGAAATCTTTCCAGGGATAACAGAACATCCCTCCAACCTGGAACAGGCACCCAAATCCCAAAAATCCAGGGGCCATGGAAGCTGGTTGTCCAGAGGCTGAAGGGAAACCTCTCCAGGGATAACAGAATGTTCTTCCTGCCAGGAACAGGCCCCCAAATCCCAAAAATCCAGGGGCCATGGAAGCTGGGTGCCCAAAGGGCTGCAGGGAAACCTTTCCAGCGATAACAGAACATCCCTCTAGTCTGGAACAGGTACCTAAATCCCAAAAAACCAGGGGCTATTGAAGCAGAGGCTGGGCAGCTCCACCCCAGCCTGGAACAGGCATCCAAATCCCTAAAAACCAGGGGCTATGGAAGCTGGGTGTCCAGAGGCTGAAGGGAAATCTTTCCAGGGATAACAGGATGTTCTTCCAGCCAGGAACAGGTACCCAAATCCCAAAAATCCAGGGGTCATGGAAGCAGAGGCTGGGCAGCTCCACCCCAGCCTGGAACAGGCATCCAAATCCCAAAAATCCAGGAGCTATGGAAGCTGGGTTTGGGATGCAGGGAAACCTCTCCAGGGATAACAGAATGTTCTTCCTGCCAGGAACAAGCACCCAAATCCCTAAAAACCAGGAGCTATGGAAGCTGGGTTTGGGATCCAGGGAAACCTCTCCAGGGATAACAGAATGTTCTTCCTGCCAGGAACAGACATCCAAATCCCAAAAAAAACAGGTGCCATGGATGCTGGGTGCCCAAAGGGCTGAAGGGAAACCTTTCCAGGGATAACAGAATGTTCTTCCAGCCAGGAACAAGCCCCCAAATCCCAAAAATCCAGGTGCCCAAAGCACACCGGCACCTCCCACCCTCGGGCGGGACCCGCGGATCCAACCGCGCCATCACCTTTCCCCTTCCAAACATTCCAGAGGGTGATCCCAAAGATTTTGGGAGGTGTCCCAAGGATTTGGGCAGCCCCCCCAGAGCTCACCTGGTAGGCGTGGTCGGCCTGGATGTGCCAGAAGGAGCCGGGGGCCGACTGGCTGAGGGCACCACCGGCCAGGCCGGGTTCCAGCGGGATCGGCTCCAGCGGGAGCGGCTCCAGCGCCTGCCGGATGACGATGGGAGCCGAGGTGGCCGTGGTACTGGTGGTACTGGTGGTACTGGTGGTACTGGTGGTGCTGGTGGTCACCTCAGGGCTCGCTTCTTCCTTCACCTGCACCTCGGTGTAATAAAAATCCTCCTCCCGCTTCCGCTGCTGCTCCCACTCGGCGCCGTCCCTGCCCCCGGGGGAGGGAAGAGAGGGAAGAGGTTGTCCTGGTTTTTTCCAGCTTTCCTGGGAAGCAGGGAGAGAGGAATCTCCCCCCCTTTTCCAGCTGTGATCCCAAAGAGTCAGATGGGCAGGCTGAGCTCTTCCCAGGGGGGGCTGGAGAAAGCGCTGGAATTGCCGGCCGAAAATTCCCGGATGGGAATTTTCGGCCGGCAATTCCAGCGCTTTCTCCAGCTCCCGGTTGGGAATTTTCGCTTGGAATTCCCCCTCCCCCATCACCCTGGGGTTTCATCCATCCAGGAGGGAATAAAGAGCTCCTGGAGAGATGGTTTTGGTGGGTTTTTTCCCAGTGTTTTTATCCAGCGCTGGATGGCGCTGTGGGATCGCTCCTGGAGAATTCCCGCTTGGAAAAGGGAGGAGGAGGAAAAAAAAATCTCCGGTGGGAAATAGGGATAAATTACAGGTGGGATAGAGATCCTTGTGCCCTCAGTGTATTTTTTTTGGGGAGGGGGAATTCCTAGGAAAAAATGCCAGGATGCCACCAGGATTCCCAAGAGTCGAGGAAGAGCTGGGTGATCCCAAGGTTTTCCAGCTGCCAGAGCTCACCAAATCCAGCTCTGGAAGTTGTAAAATAACCCCCCCCTTCACCTACCTGGGCAGTCTCAAAGTTTAAACCTATTTTTTTATTCTAAAAAAAAAACCTCCCATTTTACTAAAAAATAATTAAAAAAAAAATTCAATTTTGCCCCCTCATATTTAAAAAAACTCCATGTTTTTACCCCGTTTGTTTCTCAAGAAAACATAATTCCCCTTAAAAAAAAACCTCATATTTTCCCCAAAACCTCACAATTTTACCAGAGAAACCTCAATTCCACCCCTGAAAAAAAAACCCCACATTTTTCCCCAAAACCTCACAATTTTCCCAGAGAAACCTCAATTCCACCCCCCTAAAAAAAACCCCACATTTTCCCCCAAACCTCACAATTTTACCAAAGAAACACCATTTCACCTCCCTCCCAAAAAAAACCCACATTTTTCCCCAAACCTCACAATTTTACCAAAGAACCCTCAAATTTTTTCCCCCAAACCCACCATTTTTTCCCTAAACCACTGATTTTTTTCCCCCAAAACCCACCATTTTCCCTCAAAACCACTGATTTTTTTTCCCCAAATCCACTATTTTTTTCCCAAACCCACTGATTTTTTTTCCCCCAAAACCCACCATTTTTTCCCAAACCCACCAACTTTTTTTCCCCATAAACCCCACATTTTTTTCCTAACAAAAGCCCTTTCCATCCTCAAAAAATTCAGGTGAAATCCTGGCACCAAAGGCAGGATTTCCAACACTGGGATCATTCCTGGCACCAAAGGCAGGATTTCCAACACTGGGATCATTCCCAGCAGGAATTAGGGATGACACAGCAGGGAGGGACGTGGATTTGGTGTCTGGATAGGGATTGAGGTGGAATCCTGAGGTGAAATTTAGGTTATCCAAAGGTGAAATCCTGGCATAAAAAGCAGGATTTCCAGCACTGGGATCATTCCTGGCACCAAAGGCAGGATTTCCACAACACTGGGATCATTCCCAGCAGGAATTAGTGATGACACAGCAGGGAGGGACGTGGATTTGGTGTCTGAGTAAGGATTGAGGTGGAATCCTGAGGTGAAATTTAGGTTATCCAAAGGGGAAATCCTGAGGTGAAATTCTGGCATAAAAAGCAGGATTTCCAGCACTGGGATCATTCCTGGCACCAAAGGCAGGATTTCCACAACACTGGGATCATTCCCAGCAGGAATTAGGATGACACAGCGGGGAGGGACCTGGATTTGGTGTCTGAGTAAGGATTGAGGTGGAATCCTGAGGTGAAATTTGGCTTATCCAAAGGTTATCCAAAGGTGAAATCCTGGCACCAAAAGCAGGATTTCCAGCACTGGGATCATTCCCAGTAGGAATTAGTGATGACACAGCAGGGAGGGACGTGGATTTGGTGTCTGGGCAGGGATTGAGGTGGAATCCTGAGGTGGAATCGTCCTTACCCGAGGTGCTGGGTCCGCACGTGCCGCTTGATGCCGACGATGGAGCGCAGGAGCTTCCCACAGCTGGGCCACAGGCACTTGTACATCACCTTCACCGAGTTCTGTGGGGACAGATGGCACTGTCACCCCCTCCCTGGTGCCACTGTCCCGTCCCTGGGGTGCTGGCCCTGGGACAGCCCCACTGTGGCAGTGGCACCGGGGTGTCGCTCCACTGGGAGGGTGGACAGGGATAAATTCGGAATTTAAAGGCGGAAAGCAGCTGCAAATCCCTGGATGGAAGAGACCACGTGGCCCTCTCCATGCTAAGCATGGAGTAGAATCCAACAGGGTTGGGAAAGAGCTCTGAGTCAAACCCTGGCTCCGAGCCCGCCGTGGTTCCCAGCCCGTGGCGCTGATGCCACATCCAGCCTGTCCTGAAACACCTCCAGGGACAGGGAATCCACCCCCTCCCTGGGCAGCCCATTCCAAGGGCTGAGCACTCTCCAGGGAAAGAATCCCTTCCCCACATCCCACCTGAACCTCCCCTGGCCCAGCTGGAGGCCCAGCCCTCTTGTCCTGCTGCTGCTTCCTGGGAGCAGAGCCCCATCCCAGCCGGCTCCCCCCTCCTGGCAGGGAGTTGTGCAGAGGGATGAGGTCTCCCCTGAGCCTCCTCCTCTCCAGGCTGAGCCCCCCAAAAAAAAAACCTGAGTTCCCACCCGGATGTAACCAAAACTCAGTATTTTCTCCACCTTCTGTGTGGTTTCTGAGGGATTGGTAATCACTGGGTTGTTGGCAGAATCCATGCAGGGCACAGCGGGCACCTCAGGGTGTTAAAGAGCTCTCCAAGGAGGGTTTCTTTGCCTCCCCCCACCCCGGGGTGGCACCAGCACCTTCACCCCCCAACCTGAGGGGACATTTCTGCTCATGGGTCCTACTGGACTGGCCTAAGGGGCAGCTGCAACCACCCAGACCATCGGAGACTCCAAAAATATCCCGTGACTCACGGAGTTAAATCACCCATTGTGGAACTCCCCGCCCCTGGGGGAGGTGCTGGACGTTCCCACCTGAACCCCAGCACGTACAATCTCGGGGTTTTTGGGAATCAGACAACCACAGGGTCAGCTGGCTTGGGAAAGACCTCTGAGATCATCGAGCCCAACCCCTCGCTCCGCTGATGCCACATCCAGCCTGTCCTGAAACACCTCCAGGGACGGGGAATCCACCCTGGGAAGCCCCTTCCAACCTAAACCTCCCCTGGAACAGCTGGAGGCCGTGCCCTCTTGTCCCTGGACTTCTGCTACCACTCCTGGAATCCAGAGGGGGGCCCAGAACTCCCACAGGACCACGCTCTCAGCAGGACTGTGACCATCACTCCAACAGATCTGCTGGACCAACACCTTTCCCCTCCATTTACTTCACCCCCAGTGTGGGGGGGGGTCCACGTGGTGCTCAGCACGGGGGGCTCGACAAACCGCTCTGCTTGGAATTCTCTTCTCATCCCGGGGTGCTGCACGTCAGTCTTGGGGTGGGGGAGGGGGGGGCTTAAAACCATTTTAACTCCGCATCGCTGCACTAATTATAACCTTCGGAGCAAACCGTAACTCCTTCCTGTTTGTTTGGGGCAAAATGTAACACATCTCTGGTTTTTCCCTCCCACCCACCCACCCTTCCCACCTTCCTCTTGCGCGGGGCGGGTTCCTCCGGCACGGAGGGCTCGGGGTCTGTCTCGAAGCCGTCATCGCCCCGGGGCTCCCCGGAGTATTTGGGGCTGCCGGAGGAGGCGGGGTGAGGTGGCGAAGGGGCGGAGATGTCGCTGGCCCCGCTCCAGTGGCCGCTGCTGGTGGTGCTGCTGCCGCTGTCCGACACGTCCCCGCTCTCCTTCCAGGGGTCCCGCGATGCTGCGGGAAAAGAAAGGATTGGATGGGGAGGGGGACACACACATGGAACACACGCCAGGGTTGGACAAACCCCCGCCACGGGGTTGAATTGTTTCGTTTACCCTCTTAAAAATAAAAAAAACCCAAACCACGAAGCCCTTTGCACTTCTGCTCCTGGTTGTTGGTGGTTTATCCCTGTTTTATCCCATCTCCCCATCGGCACAGCCGGCAGCGGGACCAGCGCATTTCCCACGGCTCTTCCCGCCCCCTCGGGGGGTTTATTTTTATCCCTGTCTGACTCCTCGGGAATGAAAAGGGCCTCTAAAAAAAGGAGTGACCGGGTGGTGCCTCCCCCACCCGGATTCCTGCGGGGGGCTCCCCATCCCACGGGATGGCTGCGGGATTCGGGATCGCTCCCAGGGCGCTGCCGGGGCTGTCCCGGTCCCGGCTGGAGCCGCCGCCTCCCAGGAAATTTGGGAACTGGGGAGTCCTGGGGGATCATTTTGGGTACAATCCTGGGTGGATTTGGGCTGATTTTGGGTGGATTTGGGTCGTTTTTCCTACCATTCCAGCTGCGATTTTGGTGGAACTTCATGGGAATTGGGATGAAATCTGGGGGGGGAATTTTGGGGAATCGGGGAATCCTGGGCTTGACTTGGGGAATCCTTGGGGGTGACTTTGAGGGTGATTTGGGGTGGATTTGGGTCGATTTGGGGCGGATTTGGAGCCTTTTCCCCCCCGCCATTTCTGCTGCCACCCGGGCTGAAATTCCCCAGAATTCCTGGAATTCCCATGGAATCCTCCCCAAAATCCAGGTTTGCCAAGCTGCTGCTGCGCTTCCCAGCCCTCAGATTAATCGACCTCGAGTGTCTGGAGCATCTTTTCTTCTTCTTTCTGCTGTGGAGGGGCTGCAGGGGAGGGAAGGGAACAAGGGCCAGGAGGAGAGGGAACGGCCTCCAGCTGGGCCAGGGGAGGGACAGGTGGGATATTGGGAACAATTCCCACCTGGAAAGGGCTGTCAGGCACTGGAATCAACTTCCCAGGGCAGGGCTGGATTCCCCATCCCTGGAGGGATTTAAAATCCCTGTGGATGTGGCCCTTGGGGACAGGGGGCAGGGCTGGACTTGGCAGTGCTGGGGTTGGTTGGACTTGGTGATCCCAGAGGGATTTTCCAACTTTAATCATCCCAAAGAGTTCTGTGCCATCCTGGCATTGTCCCATCTCCTACAACTAAAAGTTTAATAAGGTGGGGGTCCCAAATTCCCAGAGAACAAGGGCCAGGATGAGAGGGAACAGCCTCGAGGGCACATTTAGTCGGATATCGGGAACAATTCCCACATGGAAAGGGCTGTCAGGCACTGGAATGAACTTCCCAGGGCAGGGCTGGATTCCCCATCCCTGCTGGGATTCCCAGTCCCTGGGGATGTGGCCCTTGGGGACACGGGGCAGGGCTGGCCTGGGCTGGTTGGACTCGGTGATCCCAGACGGATTTTCCAACTTTAATCATCCCAAAGGATTCCCAATCCTGGCATTGTCCCATCTCCTACAACTAAAAGGGATTTTAATAAGGTGGGGCTTCCCCAATTCCCAGAGAACAAGGGCCAGGATGAGAAGGAACGGCCTTGAGGGCACGTTTAGTTGGATGCTGGGAACAATTCCCACATGGAAAGGGCTGTCAGGCACTGGAATCAACTTCCCAAGGCAGGGGTGGATTCCCCATCCCCAGAGGGATTCCCAATCCCTGTGGATGTGGGAACAGAGGTGGCCTGGGCAGCAATTCCCAGACCCCGTTTCCTCCAGGAATTCCGGGGTTTCCCTCCCGATCCATCCCGTGGGAATCACTCACCGCTCTCTCCGGAGGGAGGGCTCTGCACCACGGGGGAACAGGACAGGCTGGTCAGCACCATGGCAGCCACCATCTCATCCATCTCCACGGCAGCATCAGCTTTCCTGCGCCCACAGGGTTGGGAAAACACGTGGAGGGTTGGGAAAAAAAAAGCGGAGCCACCACCCGGATACGACCCCTGAGAAACCCCCAACCCTGCAGCTTCACCCCCCTCCCTCCTCCTGGGGTGGGAAAAAAAAAAGAATAAATTAAAAAATCCCCTTAATCCTTAAAGGAACCACCCTCTGGATAATCCCACGCTGGTGGAAAATGCCAGCCCCTCTCCCGCTCCGAGCGATCCCATTTTGGGGGGAAAAAAAGGCACCACCAACCTCTTGGGAACGTCGATGCTGCTGGATATGGATCTGGGCAGGGTGTCAGCAGGAGGCTGGAGCGTGTCCTGCACCCTCCAGCAGCTCTGCAAGCCCTGCTCCTTCCCCTGCTCACATTCCTGCCCGCTGGAAGTGAGGAGCACCTGGAAAAGGTTGGGAAGGGAGGAAAGGAGAGGAGATTTCCCGGGTGATGCGATCCCGAATTCCCACCTTGGCTCTTCCATTCCCACCTCCCTCAGGCAGGGAAGGGAGATGTTCAAACCTCACCTCCTTCTCCTCCTCCTCCTCTTTCCCAGAGTCCCAAATTCCTCCTGACTTTTCCATCACCACCAGTCCAATCCCAATCCCAATCCCGTGTCTGTGTCGATGGACGCTCCGAGCGTCCCTGGCTATTTACGGGAACATCTCCTCATGGAATGTTCCCACCAAGGATGGATGGACACACCCACCTCCCTCAAGTGGGAATTCCAGCAGAAACCAGGGGTGGAAAAAGCCCCCAGGGCGAAGGGAATCGGCACAAGGATCGAGACACGGAAAGATCCCAACCTGCCCGCCGAAAACGAGGATGGAGGGGTGTGTGGATCCAGGTTTTTCCATGAACCACCCACAGCACCTCAGGGTCTGGATGTCCCTGGCAGGTGAAGACACCCCAGTGCTATTTTAATGCCGTTCCCAGCAGGCAAAGGTTGCTCCTGGAAAAATCTTCCAGAGCGGAGCAGGCGGAGCGACAAAAAAATCGGGAGGAGCCAAAAAACCACCCAGGGGATTTATGGACCCTCCAGAGAGCAGAGAGCTCCACAGGGAGCAGCCAGGATTTGGGATTTACCTCTCCTCGGTGTTAATGCCTGGCCAGGCATTAACAGGAACCGCTCCGGTGGGATGGAGTGTGATCGTTATTCCCAATCCCAGGAATATCCCTATCCCTGGCCAAGGCACGGCCCCTCCTTAAGCACCAGCAGTCCAGGACACATGGAATGTGAGGGCATTCCCACCTCACTCCTCCCTTTTTCACCCCAAACATCCACACCCTCGATCCAGACTGAGCTCCGAGGTCTGAGCCACGGGGGGAGCTCCTGGAAACTTCCCTTGGGATTGGAAGGTGGGTTATGGGAAGATGGGATCAATCCACGGGAGGGAAGCCCACTGGGAGCCACTTCAGGTGTCGAAACCATCTCCCTCCACCTCAGAGGGCTGGAGAGAACAAGAAGCTACTCCCTCCTCTCCTCTTCCCATTCCCACTCCTGCCTGGGATCAGGGATATCTCCGGAGGGGATGGATCTCAGCCCAAACCCTTCAGACACATCCAGGGCCAAAAGCATCATCATCATCATCACCACCCACCCACCAAAGATTCCTGGGAACTGCCAGGAATTCCCCACCATCGGGAAAACCCGGGAGGCTTTCCCAGGACGTACCTGCTGCCCGGGGAATCCGGGAGCTTGGCTGTTCTCCTCCAAGGGGAGCGCGCAGGATCCGTCCTCGTGGCCTCCAGGGGCCAGCTCGGGCTGCAATCCCGGGATTTGGGCGGCTACCGCCGGAATTCCGTCGGCGGGAACGCGGGTGCCGAGCAGGGAGCGCTTCCCCAGGCGCCGGGACAGCACGGTGGCCATGGCACTGCAGGGGAGAGGAACACAAGGATGTCGGATCCGGAGAGGGATCCTGGACATCGACCGGCGTCTTCCCGAGGAGCTGGGAAAGGCCCTGCGCTCCCAGGAGCCCGGATTCCCTGGGGATGCAGTCAGGATGGTGCTCGGAGCCTCCGTTCCCTCCGGAGCTTCCCTTCCCATTCCCTTTCTGGAGCTTCCATTACCATTCCCCTTCTGGAGCTTCCCTTCCCATTCCCTTTCTGGAGCCTCCATTCCCTCCCTTCCCATTCCCTTCCTGGAGCCTCTGTTCCCTTCCCATTCCCCTCCTGGAGCCTCCGTTCCCTCCAGAGCTTCCCTTCCCATTCCCCTTCTGGAGCCTCCATTCCCTCCCTTCCCATTCCCTCTCTGGAGCCTCCATTCCCTCTGGAGCTTCCTTCCCATTCCCTTCCTGGAGCCTCCATTCCCTCCCTTCCCATTCCCTTCCTGGAGCCTCCAACCCTCTGGAGTTTCCCTTCCCATTCCCCTCCTGGAGCCTCCATTCCCTCTGGAGCTTCCCTTCCCATTCCCTTTCTGGAGCCTCCATTCCTTCCCTTCCCTTCCCATTCCCTTTCTGGAGCTTCCCTTCTTATTCCCTTCCTGGATCCTCAGTTCCCTCTGGAGCTTCCCTTCCCATTCCCTTTGTGGAGCCTCCATTCCCTTTGGAGCTTCCCTTCCCATCCCATTCCCTTCCTGGAGCCTCCAGTTCCCTCCGGAGCTTCCCTTCCCGAGGCTCTTCCCGCCTGTCCCACTCCGACCCCACAATTATTTCTATCCCGAAGTGTTTCTCTGTAACCATCTTTAACCTATTCCGCCCCCAGGGAAGCCGGGAATGGGATGTATCCAACCACATCGCCGCTAAATCCAACGGCTCCAGCAAGTGACAGCATTCCAATGGCAGATGCCGCCTCATTTCGGTGTTTTTTGGGATGATCCCGGACGAGAAAAGCTCCCCTGAGGCGGAACAGGGAGCTCTCCCCGCTCCTCTGGAGCCGTCCCAAGAAAGGTTACTCCGAGCCACATCCCACACTTCAAAGGGACTCCCGGGATTCGCGGGCGCTTTTATGGGATAACCGACCGCGCTCGTCCCGCCCCGGAACGCCGGGTAGAAAATTAACAGCAAGCCGGCAGCCACAAAGGAAGGGAGAGGGAAGAGCGGGCGCGGGGTGTGCCAAGGAAAACTCCTCGTGCCAGGGCTGCCCGCAGGGATTTCTCCTTCCCTCCGGAGCGGGATCAAAGCGCCCGCTCTCCCGGCTCTCCCTCTCATCCCGCCGGGATTTCCGCAGCGTCCGGGGGGTGCTCCTGAACCCCTTGTTTTTAATTTTTGGTTTTTTTTTTTTTTTCCGTGGTGCAATAATGGGATCCACGCGGGAATGGCTCATCCAAAGGGACACCGGGAAGGCTGGGAGGGGGGACACGGTGAAGCCCCCACCCCTTCCGCCGGCATCGACCACCACGCACGCAGCCACCGGGAAAACCTCGCGCCGGGGTATCCCGGGATTCCGAGGGCTCCGGGAATCGCTGATGAGTGGAAGGGAAGCGGTGCCGGCTCCGAGGCAGCTCCTGGCGGGCAGCCAGGAGGGAGGGCAGCGCCGAAGGTGGAGAGGCGGCTTCTCATTTCCTTCGGGCTTTTTTTTTTTGCGCTTGGCCTTCCCTCTTCCTTACCCCCCCCCGCCTCCTCTTCCCTCTCCGGCCCGGGAAGGAGGAGAAGAGGGGGGAAGGAAAACCCTCCCAAACTTTTCGGAGCCGCATCTGCTCCCAGCGGGCCGGATCCAGTTTGGGAGCCCGGGGTGTGTGTGGGGGTGTGTGGGGAAACACCGAGGCCAAAAAAATCCTTCTCCTCCATCCACGTCCCAAACCACGGAGCGGGAGTCGGGAATAGGGCAGGAGGAGCCGGGAGGCCAACTCTGCCGCCTCCGGAGCCCTCCCAGCTGTTCCCAATCACGCGCCGCAGGGGTCAGAGAGCCGGCACAGATCCCAAATTATTCCCTTGCTCCGACGCCGGGCGTGTATTTTGGCCGGCGTTTTCCCAGCTCTTGCCAGGGAGTTGTGGGGGAAGAAAACGTCAGCGTGCCCGCTGGCTGGAGCGAGGCTTTGGAAAAGCGGGAGCCCCGCTCGGCAAACGAGGAACGCTGGGATTAGCAAGGAGGGGACGTGGGGAAAGCGGGGAGGGTGTCCCAGTGCTCATCCCGGCTCCTGCTTGCCCGGGCTTTGCCGGGAGAAAGGCAAAGTTCCTGCTTTCCCCGACCACCGGCGCAAATCCCCTCTCCAGGGAACGTGCTGTTACAGCACACCCCGTTTTTCCATGTGTTTTTTTAATGGATAAATGCTGGTAGGTCTTCTCCTCAAGTCCAGCCTAACTCCTGCCACGGATCAACAACCCGGACCACGAAGTCCAGGCTACGACAGACCCCGAACGCTGCAAGAACCGACGACGAGCCCAGTTTTAATCTCTCTTCCAAAAAAATCGCCCCTTCTCATCCCAAAATATCCCGAAGCTCTTTGCAAACAGGGGTATCCACAGGGATATCCACAGGGATATGCAGAGTTCGGGCCTGTATTAAACCAAGAGGCGACGAGGATCTGCTGACCCCGAGTCAGAACCAAACTCCCGGCGCTCCCGGACAAGGAACAACAAAAACCGGCGCTTCCAAGAGTTTCCCTCCTAATTCCACCTCGTTTCACAGCTCGGCGTCGTGCCCACGATGTGTCACCGCGTGGAAAGGAAGGCTCCCCGACCCTCATCCACAACAACGCTCGCTGCCGCCGGGAGATTCCCGAGGGAAACGATGCCGGGAGGGAAAACACATTCGGAGGTCGCGCTCCCGACCACATCCACGGTTTTTTTGGTGCCGGCGAGGGCAGGGAGACTTCCCAAAGGCATCGGGGAGCCGGCATCGAAGGCAGTCAGGAAGGAAAGGGCGGGAGTTGGAGCTTTTCTGGGAGCGGGCACAGGGATTCGTGGCACGGGCTGCGTGTGTGTTCCCGTGTGCGGGGCACGTGGGGAAGATGGCAGGGCTGGAGGCACGGCAGGAGGAGGAGGAGGAGGAGGAGGTGGTGCCCGGGCCTGCCGAGGAGGGCGGCACCGGGCAGGGCACGTGTGCGAGGGGAGGGGGACACACGGACCGGGAAAGCCGGGGGGGAGAGGGATGTGTGCCGGGATGGGGGGGCTGGCATGGACCGGGATGGGGGCTGGCATGGACAGGGATGGGGGCTGGCATGGACCGGGATGGGAGGCACAGATAGGGGTGGGCATGGACCGGGAGGGGGACACGAACGAGGATGAAGGGGGTGGACACAGGCACCGGGCAGGGGTGGGCATCCACCAGGATTGGGAGCACACAGACACCGGGTGGGCACAGGGATAATGGGGGGGGCATAGGCACCAGGATGGGTGGGCATATACCGGGATGGGGAGGAGGGAGGGCACAAATACCGAGTGGGCAGGTACCGGCACCCCAAGCACCGCGCTGGGGGTGGCACAGAGCCCCGGGGTAAGATGCCCAGGGGGGTCTGGCAGCGGGCAGCACTCGGAGAAGGGGTGGTCGCCCGGGACTGGCAGAGCCCTGGTGTGTGTGTGTGGGGGGTGTGGTACAGACACCGGGCAGGGTGGGCATTCACCGGCATGGAGGGGGTACAAGCACCGGGCCGGAGGGGGCACAGACACGGGTAAAGGGGTTCTCACCCCGGGACCGGCAGAGCCTCGGGGTGTGTGTGTGGGGGACTGGGGAGGCAGCGCTGAGCCGGCCGGGGCTCGGGGTTTGGGGAGAGCTCGGGGTGGGGGTTCTTCCCGCTGCGACCCCCGCTTACCTCCGGCTCGGCTCCCGCCCTGCTCCGCCGGCGCTGGTTGTTTTTGAGCGGCCCGTCCCCGCTCGGTTCCCCGTTGCCGGTTTCTCCCTCAGGCCGGGCCGGGCCGGGCGGGGCGGGGAGGAGCCGCGGCCGGGCGGGAACCGCCGCTCCCGCGCGCGCGGGGTCTGGTGGGTTGGTTTTTTTTTAATAGTATTATTATTATTTGGCCCTTTTCCCTGGTTTTTTTCCCCCCTCTTTTTTTCCCCCGGGCGAGGAGGAGGGGAGGAAGGCGTGTGAGGGGGAAGGGGGGGAGGATGCCGCGCCGCCGCTACTCACAGCGCCCCGGGGGCAGCCCCTGGCTCCGAGCCTTCTCCTCGCCGCCGGCCGGGTTAAAGCTCCCGGGGCCGGGCTGGTGTAAACAACCTTCCCCACATGCTCGGCCCCTTCCTGCGCATTGGCTCCGCCGCTGCCTTCAAATGCAACGCCCCCGCCGACCCCGGCCCCGGCCGCGGCCCCGCCGGGCTCTGTCAGCCCAGCCCGGCCCGGCCCGGCCCGACCGGGGTGCCCGCGGGGCTCCGGGGAGCGGCCCCAGGGTTCGTCCCGCGTCTCCCCCTGTTCTTCCCGGTCCCCCCAGTTCTTTTTGGTCCCCTCCTGGTTCTTCCCGGTCCCCCCCGGTTCTCTCTGGTTCTCTGGTTCTTCCTGGTCTCCCCCACCCTCCCCGCCGGGATGAGGCCCCCGGGACTCCGCTGTTCACCCGAGCGGGCGCGGGGGTCATTTCTTCTCGCTTCCTAAAGCTGTGCTGCGCTTATAAAGCCTGGGATTGTTTGTTGTTGTTTGGTTTTTTTTTTAGTTTATTTTGGAGGGGTTTGTGTATTTTAAGTTTTGTCCCTTTGGAGGGTTTCGCCTCTGAAGGGCTGGGGCTCCCCTGCACCCCCTTCTCCAAGGGATGGAGCTCCCACTTCCCAAGGGCTGGGGCTCCCCCTGCACCCCCTTCTCCAAGGGATGGAGCTCCCCCTTCTCCAAAGGATGGAGCTCCCACTTCCCAAGGGATGGAGCTCCCCATCACCTCCTTCCCCAGGGAAGTGGCTCCCTAACACCCCGCTCTCCTTATCCTGCACCTTGGAGGGTCCCAGTACTGCAGCTGGAGCCTCCATCACCCCCTTCCCAAGGGATTGGGGCTCCCCCTGCACTGATTCCCCCCACTCCCCCTTCAAACCCTCAGCTTTTTGTCCCCACAACAAAAATCCCTAATTTTGCTGCTTTTGTCCCTGTATAGAGCATTATGGCAGAGCTGATGTACAAACACTGGGCCTATTTCCAGCCTCAAAAAACCATGTATTTTACCACCAACTAATAAACACAGCGTAGGTGGGATTTTACTGCCGTTGTCCGAGGTAAAATGTTGGGACAGGGAGTGGTTTTTATCATAGAAAAGACAAAACCTCACGTGATTTCTCAACAACGTATCTGTATTATTTTTTTCTCCGGTAAAAACAAGGCACCCTCTCCAACGCACCCAAACCGGAGCCAAACCCTTCTACTTCCAGCAGTGCTCCTAAATTTCCTCCCGAGCTCCTCAGACTTGGGCTTCTAAGTCACCTCAGTGCCTGGTTAAAATGAGAATTAAAATGAAAAGTGAATTATTATCTCCCCTCATGGACACCCCTCATCTCTCCCTATGATCTCCCCTCATGGACACTCCTCATCTCCCCATGATCTCCCCTCATGGACACCCCTCATCTCTCCCCTCATGGACACTCCTCATCTCTCCCCATGATCTCCCCTCATGGACACCTCTTATCTCCCTTCATGGACACCCCTCATCTCTCCCCATGATCTCCCCTCATGGACACTCCTCATCTCTCCCCATGATCTCCCCTCGTGGACACCCCTCATCTGACCCATGATGACCCCTCACGGCTGCCCCTCACACCCCATGGCCACCCTTCATCAGCCCTGATGGTCACTGATCCATCATGGACACTCCTCATCTCTCCCGATGGCCATCCCTCATCTCACTCCATGATCTCTCTCCCCTCATGGCTGCCCCTCATTATCTCCCCTCAGGGCTGCTCCTCATGGACACTCACCTCATGACTCTCCCCTCATGGCAGTCTCCCCTCATGGACACCTCATCTCATCTCCACCTCATGGACGTTCCTCAGGGCTGGTCCTCATATCCCATGGCAGCCCCTCATCTTCCTCCCATGAGTTCCCCTCAGGTCAGCCCTTCATCCCTCATGGACACCTCTCATGTCACCCATGATCTTCCCTCATGGACACCCCTCATCTCCCCTCATGATCTCCCCTCAGGGCTGCCCCTCAAACCCCATGGCCACCCTTCATCTGCCCTGATGATCACTGATCCATCATGGACACTCCTCATCTCCCCTGATGGCCATCCCTCATCTCACTCCATGATCTCTCTCTCATGGCTGCCCCTCATTATCTCCCCTCAGGGCTGCTCCTCACATATCCCATGGCCATCCTTCATCTCACTCCATGATCTCTCTCCCCTCATGGCTGCCCCCATGATCTCCTCTCAGGGCTGCTCCTCACATCCCATGGCCGCCCCTCATCTCATGGACACCCTTCATCTCCCCCATGACGTTCCCTCAGGGCTGGTCCTCATATCCCATGGCAGCCCCTCATCTTCCTCCCATGATTTCCCCTCAGGTCAGCCCTTCATCCCTCATGGACACCTCTCATGTCACCCATGATCTTCCCTCATGGACACCCCTCATCTCCCCTCATGATCTCCCCTCAGGGTTGCCCTTCAAACCCCATGGCCACCCTTCATCTGCCCTGATGATCACTGATCCATTATCCCTCATGGCTACTCCTCATCTCCCCTCATGATCTGCCCTCAGGTCAGCCCTTCATCCTCATGGACATCTCTCATCTTAGCTGTGATCTCCCCTCAGGGCTGCCCCTCACACCCCATGGCCGCCCCGCATCTCCCTCATGATCTCCCCTCACAGTTGCCCCTCACGCCCCGTGGTCAACCCTCATCTTCCTCCATGATCTCCCCTCATCTCCCTCATGATCCTCCCTCATGGACACCTCTGATCTTCCCAATGATCTTCCCTCATGGATACCCCTCATCTCACCCATGATCTCCCCATTACGGCTGCCCTTCACACCCCATGGCTGCCCCTCATCTCCTCTGATGATCACTGACCCCTTCATCCCTCATGGTCCCCTCTGATCTCCCCCATGATCTTCCCTCACAAAGACCCCTCCTCTCCCCTCATGCTCTCCCCTTACGGCTGCCCCTCACACCCCATGGCTGCCCCTCGTCTCCTCTGATGGTCATTGACCCCTCATCGTTCACGGACACTCCTCATCTCCCCCATGACGTTCCCTTTATAGACACTCTTCCTCTCCCCTCACGGCTGCCCCTCACACTCTCACACTCACACACACACACTTTCTCATACACACGTCCCATTCCTGCCTCCCTGTCCCTCTCCCTGTCCCTGTCCCTCTCCCTCCCCATGACGTCCATGACGTGCCCCTCCCTCAGCCTCCCCCAGCCATTCCCGCCCCCGGCGCTGGCGGAACGGCGCGTGCCCTGCCCGCTCCCCCGCCCCCGCCCTGGCTACGTGCGGTTCCCCACGAGGCGCCGCGCGCGCCCCCCGGCTGAGGGAACAGCGCGCGCCGCACGTTCGCGCCCCCGCCCGCCCGCGGCACGAGGGGGTGGGGGGAGGAGAGGAAGGCGGGCCGGGATTCACCAATGGCGAGAGGCGGTGCCGCAACACCGGCCAATAGCGGCTCGTCCTGAGGGGAAAGGCCCGCCCCCCTCGGGCGCCCATGGCGGCGCTGCGGCGAGAGCGGCGCCAGCGGCGGGCGGGGAGTCCCGCCGCCGGTTGGAGGCGGTGTGGTGCTCCGTCCGTGAGCCGCCTCATCTCCCTCGGCCCCCCTGTCCATCAGCCCTCAACCCACTCAGCCCCCTCAATCCATCAGCCCTCAGCCCCTGAACCCACTCAGCCCCCTCAGTCCATCAGCCCTCAGCCCCATCAATCCATCAGCCCTCAGCCCACTCAGCGCCCTCAGCCCACTCAGTCCATCAGCCCTCAGCCCCCGAGCCCACTCAGCCCCCTCAGGCCTCTCAATCCATCAGCCCTCAGCCCACTCAGCCCCCTCAGTCCATCAGCCCTCAGCCCCCTCAGTCTATCAGCCCTCAGCCCTCTCAGCCCCCTCAATCCATCAGCCCTCAGCCCCATCAATCCATCAGCTCTCAGCCCCCTCAGTCCATCAGCCCTCAGCCCCCTCAGCCCCCTCAGTCCATCAGCCTCAGCCCACTCAGCCCCCTCAGTCCATCAGCCCTCAGCCCACTCAGCCCCCTCAGTCCATCAGCCCTCAGCCCCATCGAGCCCCCTCAGCCCCCTCAATCCATCAGCCCTCAGCCCACTCAGCCCCCTCAGTCCATCAGCTCACTCAGCCCCTTCAGTCCATCAGCCCTGACCCCACTCAGCCCCCTCAGTCCATCAGCCCCTCAGCCCCCATCAATCCATCAGCCCTCAGCCCCCTCAATCCATCAGCCCTCAGCCCACTCAGCTCCCTCAATCCATCAGCCCTCAGCCCCCTCAGTCCATCAGCCCTCAGGCCCCGAGCCCACTCAGCCCTCAGCCCTCTCAGCTCCCTCAATCCATCAGACCTCAGCCCCCTCAATCCATGAGGCCACTCAGCCCCTTCAGTCCATCAGCCCTGACCCCACTCAGCCGCCTGAAACCATCAGCCATGAGCCCTCTCAGCCCCCTCAATCCGTCAGCCCTCAGGCCCCAAGCCCACTCAGCCCCCAAGCCCCCTCAGTCCATCAGTCCTCAGCCCCCTCAATCCATCAGCCCTCAGCCCCCTCAGTCCATCAGCCCTCAGCCCCCTCAATCCATCAGCCCTCAGCCCCATCAATCCATCAGCCCTCAGCCCCCTCAGTCCATCAGCCCTCAGCCCCCTCAATCCATCAGCCCTCAGCCCCCTCAATCCATCAGCCCTCAGCCCCCTCAGCCCCCTCAGTCCATCAACCTTCAGCCACCAAGCCCCCTCAGCCCCCTCCCAAATTTTCCATGCCCGATCCAGGGAATTTCCCCCATCCAAACTCCAGGCCGGGCTCCCCTGATCCCTCCCTGCCAGCGCCGGCTCATCCCAACAAACCCACGGATCTGGGAAGGCAGCAAATCCACTCGGCTTCTGCTCTGGGATGGCCCCCACGGGAAG